TGGGGTTTTCGTGTATCACATACGTTGCTCGGGATATTTGAAAAAATCCATATTAAAATCGCTATTTCGGGAACTCAGTCAAGACACGATGACGTCATTGATTATTACGGCGCACTGCATGGTTTCAGAAAAAAACTTATTTTCTCGAAAACCATTTACTATTTTGGAAAAATTGTTGGACCAGGAAACGTGGAAGATGCAGGGCTATAACCTGCAATTGCGGTTTTAGTTCAATTATGTACAGGATGTGTCAATTATGGGTAAAAAAACCTAAAAGACCCTGAAAATTGCCGTAATGGAAAAGTATAAAACATGGGATAATTTGGTTTACACAGTCGCTATTGATACATATTGAGAAAGAGAGAGAGAGAGAGAGAGAGAGATTCGTTATTACTTGACAATTTTTTATATTTATCAAAGTTTGTCGTTACTTTGAAATTCGGCCATAAGTAAAAGACGCTTTATGTAAGGTGTGTACACAATGTAATTACATCGATTTTGCCACAGTTCCATAGTGGTCTGCAGGAACATGATAGAAAAACAAGGCGTATCTCTAGGACAAGGAAACGCGAAGCGACTTCTTTTTTAAAATACAAAGCTGCTTCGCGCTACGCGCTACGAACTTGCCCCGCCCAGCAACGATTTTTCGAAAGCAATTTTGTTACCCTTAAGTTTGAGTTTATTCTTGTAGATATTTATTTTATCATAAGTATAAGTAGTTACCTATTTGTGTTTACTTTAGTGTGTATAATAATAGACAGTTTCGTCCGTAATTAAATTAATAAGCGCTTGCGTAGTAGAAAGAAATCGGTGCTTTATGGCAGTCAAAATATCGGCCTACAATTTAAACCAAACTATAGGAGTTCGGTAATAGATTCAATTTCAACCGGACTGGTGATTTTCGTGCCGACACTCCCAGCGTATTATCGATAGGTGGTACCTACCAAGACGGACGGTGGTTTCTCCTTAATAGCGTTCGATGAACGATCGATAGAGCGCTTATGCTAATGTTTCCCGAATTAGCATACATTTAGTTCTCGACTTTCGATTGCGCGCGAAATTATATTGATTCGCCCGCTATTCCGCGTCTAACGGTTTGCGGATGTGCTCCGTCGTTCCCCTTAAATTAACGTTTCTTATTCAAATAGTCGTCAGCCTGTTACCAATACCTGCGGATTTCGGTTCTTTAACCAAACCACCTTCCGAACGGGGTGTGTTTGTTTTGTGAAAGGCGATCCGCTTCGGTAGGTGAGCCGGCGGCGCACAGTGGTCTCAAAAATTAAATTGTCGGTCAAAAATGTCAGCACCATTGTGGTTTGACCAAGCCTAATAAGACTAATATGCTCAAAGAAATGTCATTTACAAGATGGCGGCTGACATTTGGCTAATTTGACAAAAAAAATGCTTTCTGAAAAAACCGTAGTGAAATTTTTGAAACTGGCTTATGTCATGTTGTAATAAGTAATAAAATTAATAAGAGGAGTGAGGAGGATTAATTATAAGGGTTATGTTGAGAATCAAAATTTAGAAAATATTTACAAATTGTGCCTTAATTGTCACAGATTATTCAATATTTCTTAGATATTTGGAGGCTAGTTTAACCCTTGACCCTTCTCGCTGCCTCTCTTATAATAGTAATAAAGATAAGGCGATTCAATATGTTAAATAGCAGAAAAACTAAAAGCCATTTAAGTATTTCTAATTTAGGTAAATTTAAGTACTACTTATTAATTATTACTCTGAATTTAAGTATTAGTAATTAAGGTAAATTTAAGGACTACTAAAAAGTTATTATTCTGAATCATTCTCACTCAACTCGGAACCAATTTGAATGTCATTATCTTCATCTGAGTCAGGTACAGAATCTTGCGAACCTCTCGATATTAGCATTTCTAGGGCTTCGGCTGAAAATTGTTTCAGTTCCTTCTTTGCAAGCTTCCTAAGGCTAGAGATATAAGGATACAAGAAATCTATTGAAAACATTTGCCATTGTTTTTACACAAGAAAACTTTAGAGAGAAATCTTCACGATACTTCTTTATGGCCTCGTGAGCCTCTCGGATAATTGTCCAATAGTTATTAGCTCATTTTCTACTATTTGGTTTCAATGTATTTTGTGCAGAAATTTTTGCTCGATCGTGTTGCCAGCTTGCAACTTCCATATAGACTAGCTCGTGGCAGGAGGAGTCTGAATCAAAGAAACATATCTGTCTCAATTTTCTGTACAGCTATTGCATGTAGTATATCATATTGTGTAAAACCTGTATTTGATTTTAGAAAGAGAAAATCATTAAAATATAATCTGATTCTTGCTTTATTCTTTTATATACAGGGTGTTTAACATTATTTTAATGGTTTTTAATTTTAGAATTAAACCAGTGTACGATTTAATTACTAATTTCCTCAAAATAAAAATGTCAGTCGATACTAAGAATTATATGTCTATGCATTATTTCCGTTATACTTTCAACCCGTTTTCCGTCGGCTGTGACCGGAGTGGCAACTAGTGGACTGGTAGAACTGCACCAAATTTAAAAGATAATAAGTCATTCTGTTAGTTCAAATCCTAATATGTGCGGCATTTACTGCTATATACTACTTTTGGACCTAATGAACCAGTGAATAATTTAACAAATACGTATTTTTTCGTTACCCTTTTTAAATAACTAAAAATAAAATTTACATACCTGATGGAGTTGGTTCCATAATGCCACAATTCTATGAAATAACTTGAGTCAGCATTATATTTTATGAAAAAGTCACAATCTTAAAATCTCTTCAGAACACTACCTCTCTCGAAAAACATTGAATTACAACTAAAATTAAGGTGGTAAAAGTCAAATATTTAAGGACTTTCTCATTGTTTTGACCTCTGGACTTTCTACTACACCCTTTCATTGGCATTCCCAGAATAGAAGTGATGTCTTTACCTATTATGTTAAAACAGGGAGAAACTTTACTCTAAAGAAAAAGAAAAAACTAATGTATTGCGGAAAATTTATTCTACTTATGTATATGCATGGAATCCTATAAACTCCTGGTGTTTCAAACGGAATTTTGTCTTTGATGGCTCGAAGATGTCGAGATATTTTTGGAGAAGTGGCAAATCGGGTTTTAACGTTATATGTTTTTTAGAACGTTTGATATCTTGTCAGTAATGTTTTAAATGTAAGGAAGGACGGACCACAGTGGCAGGTGTGGGGTTGCTGTCGGACTCATTGGGATATTGTAGTGACGTCTGGTTTGGAATGGAATTCTTAATATATATATTGTTTAAATTATTTGAGAAGAGCTTATGTTTGAAAGTATCGGTCTGCGTGCGTAGGTTTTCTGTAAACTGAATGGAAAATTATTTTTAGTTTCTAATTAAATGGTAAAACCTATGTTAGGGGTATAGAGTTTAAGGGGTTAATAAAATAGGTCAAATAACAAAAGGGTCATCAGTGTCAGTGTCTCCATAGTTTTAGATTGAAAGTACTGATAGCGTTCTTCTCAAAAGTTTCGTTAATCGTATTTACAATGACTGGTGATAATGGAGAACCCATAGCTGTTCTTGATATACTTCCATTACTTCGAAAGCTTAATCCTATTTTGTAAATCATAGGGGTTCTGTTGAAACGAGGAATTTTAGAGTCATTATGGGTGACACCAAAATTAATTCTTTTACTTCTTGAGGTTATGATTGTCAGCTTTCTTACTCCCCGTTAATTTTGCGCTGTGTTTTATATTATACTCTTTGATGAAGAGAGAATCTAGACCTATCTTTGTTTTTTAACAGTGTTAGGAGACGAATAGTTATACGATGTAGTCAATGTTAGTTCGGGTTAGCGTGATTTAAACATTCTAAAACTTATAACTAAATTTATTATTTAGATTATTTGGACATGCTGCTGTCTGAACTGCGAAGATTGACCATGGCTCTATCGTTTTTCTGCGTAATCAAACTAACTATTTAGTAAGTGAAGTAAATTTAGTATTACAGTTCTAGTTTCCTGTGATTGGGTTTGACCTGGGAATGGAATGGCTATTTATTTATTCCAACACCTTATATCATCTAGTGAGCTAAAGCCGGATAATCTAGTTTTTGAATAATCAGTTTCGCAATCTGCCGACAGCTATTATCAAAGACATTTACATAGTTGTTTCTCTGTGCTTTTATTAGAAATCTAAACTTTATGCGTTTTTCTGCTTTTTTGTAAGAATGCGCGCCAACAATGTAATTGTTTTTAGTAATAAGTGTAGGTACTGAACTGAATTGCAGTTTTGAGCACTTGTTATAAAATGCAACAACTTGCGAAAACGCTGATAGGCCACCAAAAATAAATGTAGTATATATAAAAGTCAATTCTTGTTTAAATCGGAATGTTTGAAAATAAGTCAGAATCGAGTACTGGTTGAAACATGATGGAAATATATTTTATAGGAAGACATTTAACCGGTTTTCAAATTATTTTTTCTGAGTGTTTTTATAAATACTTAAAAGTAGAAAAGGTATGGGAGCAACAAAGAACAGTATTTAGGAATAACAATTTTAGTAATAATAATTTAAAAAAAAGTAAAGTCAAATGTTGGAATTTCATAATATTTCAGTATCTAGTACCTCCAGTTTGTCCATTGCGTACCCGATATATCTGATTCTATTCCCAATGACCCATTTGTCAGAAATTTTGACTTGGTTATCAGAAATTCTGACATTTTTTCCTCAAAAATTTTGCCCTACTAAACTAAAACCTTTATTTTATTTTATTTTAGCGCTTTTGTAGCAATTAATTATAAGTCAGAATCACGTTATGTTCTTTGCTTTTAGTTTCTTTACAGTTATAAACCGCACATCTCAAAACCACGTTTACGAATTAATTATCAATTCTTCCAAAGAAGCGAACAATCCGACGTCTACCGGCCCTCGGCAAGGCCACGACAAAGGGGCGGATGCGCCGTTATTCGACTCTAGCCCGCCAGGGCGGTCTCCTCCTTCCTCCTAGTTGCTAGTTCGGCCGAATCCTGCTGCCGCACGCTCGGCGGCAGCGCGGTGGCATCGTTATTTAAACTTTATTGTCGGTCGGGTCGCGCGATACGAGACAACGCATTCTCGCCGGGCCTTTCGGTGCCTCTTTTTTCTTCGGTTTCCTTTCCGGTTCGCAAATTCGCGACTTTTTCGCATTTTTTTTTTTGGATCGCCGGTCTGCGCGCGGGAGTGCGGCGTGCTGTGAACGGGACTTTTGGTTTCTTTTTTTTTTACTTTTGTTTCTCGCTCGGTGATTTGATTTGTTTTTTTCCGGTTGGTTGGTTTTTGGAATTTTTCGTTTTGGTCTCCCTATAGAAGGTGAGTTATTTCACATAGGTAGAGCGATTGCTCTTTTTCAGGTATTAAGCTTTCTAGCAGGTTCGCGAAACAACTAGAAGAGCTTACCAAATGCCTTATTTTAGTTGCTACACGCAATACAATATGCAACAAGTTTCACAAACTACGCTTTAGTCCAAAGAAGTTTATAAATTTTTACATACTATATTCTTTCTACGGCCATTAATTTTTGGGTATATTTTTGAAAAATCCCACCAATACATTCATATCGGACAAAATTAAAGCAACTTTTTGAAAATTATATTTAAAAGACAACCAATTAGAGTAAAATAAAACTTCAACGTAAATGAGTTTTATTAACGGGTTTCAAAGAAATATAAAAATAATTAAATTACTTCCTTTTATTAACAAAACAAAATTAAAGTAACATTCTCTTTTTCTTCAAAAAATGAATCATTAGTACTTTCCGTTAATTTTTAGGCCAATATCCTTTATTTGCAATCGCAGACAGCTTCGCAAAAAAACTGATAAATCCATGCTTGACCGTTGTAAAAACGTATGTAGGGATTAAGCCTTTTACCATCTGGACGGCGTATCCGTGTTTCACCATCACTTCAGATGTACCAAACTTTGATTCGTCAGAAATCAAAACCTTTTCCCAATCTCTTGGAATCCATCCGTGTGCGAACAATAACCTTGCATCTGTGTTTTTGACTGAAAGAAGAGCTTTTTTTCGCAGTACTTCTTGCTTTGAAATCTGCTTTAAACAAAGGCCTTGTTAACATCTCTATCCCCTCTACTTAACTTAAAAATGCCAAAACCTGTGTTCCAGAGAGTTTGGGGTCATTGTTAACAATTCTCTTTATGCGTCCATCCAGTTGTTTCTAAATTTTGACGCCATTGTATCTGTTGAGTTACAAAGATATTAATAAACGGAATTATTTACCTATATCAAAAAATTTTTTGATATAGGTAAATAATTCCGTGTATTATTATAATAGTTGCTTTAATTTTGTCCGATACTTTTATTATTACAAATAACCAAGAAAGCAATCAAAATAATTGTAATGACACACACACACACACATAATGAGAAATAAGTGTAAATGTTGGCTTAGGATTGATGTAACTATTTCTGGTCTAATAGTTATGGTTATATTTTAAAATTTAGAAATATTATCAGGATATCATTAACATTTTGCACTTTTTCTGACAAACTTTGGACTCGCCTTTCACCCATATTTTTTCTACTTTTTGATGTCGCATGTTATATATAACATTCATTTCAAAATGCGCTGATTGTATTATGATTTTTTAGGTTTTTAGGTCAAATTAGGTCTTTTAAATTGTTTAATCTGTATTTGTCTTAATAAAACATTTATTACTTTTAGCATAGCATGCTTAAACATAAAATTGGAAATATAGTTTTTTATTTCAAATGTTAAGTTATCGATATGCGTTTTGGAAGTTTTTTCATGCAAATTAGATCTACTTTCGATTTCTGTTCAAATAATTGCATTATTCAGTTTGAAATTTCCGAGAAACATAAATTTTTGAATTGGAGCCCTCTTTTGGGGGCAGTGAAACAGGTTTCTCACAGGTATACTTTTTTTTGTGTTGAGTTAAACCAGTTTTATTGGCATTTCAATCGGTCATATAGCTTCTCTCCCTACCGCTCTTAGTTGATGTCCTACAATTAAAAATGGTGGTCGTATTCTTTTATCAACTTATAATAAAATATAATTTAGTAAAATTCTTTTGGTCATTTTCCTATGGCGTTTTCAGTTTTAAAATCGATCTTGAGCCCACACTGTTTATAAAAGAACTCTCGTCAGCCACTTTTATGTATTACTGTGTCCCATAGAGTTAGTAGAGATATAGTGGCCCTGCCTATGCTGATAGTACAGGAACATATGCAGCAAATATGAGAAAAAGTTTTAGAAGGTCCATTTCGTTCTTAAAAACAGAGGATGGTAATTTATAATATTTTCTAAACTGGGGTTCCCATAATTAATCCTTCTTCAGAAATTTAAATTGATTGGTGAATTAAAAAAAATTGATGTGAACAAACCATTACACTATCTATAGATAGATAAATTCCCTTTTGTTATGTTTATCATAGTGCATATGTTTTCTTTGCAATAATTTTGTAAGAGAATTGTAACACTTCGAATAGATTTTGATTATAACAAATTTGTAATATTTTTTTACCTTTGTTGTCAACCTAAAACTTTGATTGAAAAACTTTACTAGCCTCAATCCAGAACTGAACTGGTTTACTATTAAGAGCACTACATATTTTATCCATAAAAAGTAGTTCTTTCGGCCCCTAGTAGCATTTGTGGCTGATTTGGTATTCATTCTATCAAGGATTGCTACAACATTTCGGCTGAAAACTTGAGCAGGTACAGATGATGCAAAAGAAGGTTCGCACATTAGTAAGGTCAGTTTTAGTAGGTTCACAGAATCTCTACTAAAGCGCCTCTATCGTGTTGATGAATGTGATATGGAAAGAACTGCCATTTTCATAAGAACTTTTTGTCCAAGTTGTCAAAATTGGACCTTTGCCAAAACTTTATGACGCTTTTGATGAATAACTTGTAAGTAGCAAAGAAACATTTCATTAAAACTTTTTCCCATCACTTCTACGCGAGTACATCGCAAATAGGAAAGCTCGGGCGAAGCTGCTGTTTAGAGAGGAACTTTCCAAACCCACGTCCAAGCTTGGGACCAAAGTGGATAATCGCTCGTGAGGTATTTCAAACGTGCGCGGCCTAAATTTCCAGTCGAAAAAAATGACATTACGGCAGTCGTTGAACTCTTAAATAAATTAAATCGTCCGTTTGAAGTAAACATTTTACAGCGTTTGGAAGACGACGCGTACGAAGTTTTGGCAGATTCGTCCGATTGTTTTTCACGCTGCAGTAAACGCGATTAATCATCGTCCTGATATATTTTCGGGGTCCGTAAAGATGGTAGCCGTTAATGGTACAAATCTAATTTGAAAAATAATTTTCGCATAGTTTCCATACTATTCTAACAACCTTCGATCGAAAAATGGTTTGTTTTTTATTCTTCCTGTATCAAAATAACAATTTTTTTTAGTTCAATAACTACACTGAATTTTTAACATCAGAGAAATAAAAATGGGCATATAATTTTTAAATTGAAAGGGAGAGTAAATTATGAAGCAAAGTTTCAATTTTTTTACTACTTTGTAGTTGTTAAAATTAAATTTAATAGAAAATGAATTTAATTTTTTCTGGAAACTTATTATGGAAGTCATTGTAAACCATCATAAAAATGTCTATGTTTTCAAATCTTAACATGATTCTATCTATGTAGGTATCTATTAAAGCGTCAATAGAGTTATTATGGATAGTTTTCCCATTGTTCTAGAGAACGCTTTCCAATTTACTCTTAACGGTAATAATTTAAGAAGTCGTGTGTCAAAAGAATTTTTTAATAATGCAACTTTGTAACCAATAATAATAGAGAGCTATTTACGTCGCAATTAATCTCACAAAAATTTTGGTCAATTTCGAAGTTAATTTTCTCGCTTACCGCTGATTCGATTTGGATACATATATGTATATTTTAAATGTAGCTTTAATCTTCATAAATGTTGTTACGTAAACCGTTTTTACTTATATTGAAATTTTTGGCATGTACAGAGTGTTTGAGGGAAACACAATTTTAATCTCAGTGTTATTCTGTGGGAATTCTCATCAACATTATTAAATAATTGTTTAAGTCAATATGTAGCCTAGGGTGTAACCCTCTTTTCTCAGTATTTTGTTTTTTTTATTCACCTCTTTATCCTACCGATTAAATGAAATACTAAATTAAATGCCAAACCCAACAATTACAGTTTATTACAAAAAAAAATTGAAACCAAATCAATAAACAAAAGAAAAGTCAACATCGGTTGTTTCCTCCTTCCTCCTTCTAAGCGCCTGACACTGGCGACTCATACTCATAATTAGTGCTGGATTGATGTTAGTCCACCTATTCGGTTAAGTTCTGGATTGCGTGGAGGCCAATTACATCATTTCAAAAATTGCAGTATTTGTTCTGGTATTATTGTCATTATCAATATAAAGTTTTCTTCAATATAATCAGTCATAGGTATCAAATGCCCTGACAAAACTTTCACAATATCCTTTTCAATCAGTTATAATTAGTAGGAAGGAAATACTCGACATTGGCTTTTTTTTATGTAATGTTTGACATTAAATTTTGCGTTTTATTTAAGAACTGAAATTTATTGGGATCTTCTGGGAAACAGTTAAAAAGTTATTTTCTGTGGTAAGAGTTTCCTCGAAGTAATTAAACAAAGAATAACACATCTTAGGGTAAATAATTGACTCAAATAAATTTTACAAAATTCTAGTATTCTTTTGCGGAAATTACATATTATGGGCTTTAAGGTGAAGTTGTATAGTATACTAGAATCTTACTTAAAAAGTCACAGTCAATTTGTAAAATGTGTTTTGTAGTGAGACGATACAAAACAATTATGGAGTACCATAATGTTCTGTTCTTGGACCACTACTTTATTCAATTTAGCCCGTTGGTTTGGAAATTGCCAGAGCTGAAGCTTTGTATTACATGTTATTAGTATACAACGGGGAAATGAAAAAGAAGAAAAACTAATAAATGGGGATATTAATTGACATCTCACAACAAATTAAGTATAAATATGGAAAAAACAAGGTTTATAATCCTTGGACGAAAAATAAAATAGTAACATTATCATGTAGAAAGTAATATTCCTAAAATATTTACGTTTAATTGTGGTTGACTAATCAAACTGACAATTGCACACAAATAAAATACGAAATAAAGCTAGTCCTATGACTAATTATTTTAAAGTTTAGAAATTATATCTTATAGAACAAAGAAACTGGTCATACCTGAGATATTTAATCGCAATATGGTTAATCCGTGGAAACACTCAGTGACGTTTAAGTTATGCATATTAAATTTTTAATAATTTTATGTCTGTTTTATCTCATCGA